GGGAGATATGGGGAGATATGGGGACCCCGCTGGTGTTGCGTGACTGTCTCTGTGCGATGTCGTGACTGTCTCTGTGCGATGTCGTGACTGTCTCTCTCTCTCTCTCTAACTGTCTCTGTGCGATGTCGCGGCCCTGGGTCGTGCGTCTACGTGAATACGAGGGGTGCGAAGACAGCGGAGTGCGGCGGAATACGGTCGAGTACAGTGTCGAATGCAGTGGAGTACGCCGTCCTCTCGGGTGCCTCTCGAGTGCCGGTTGGAAGACACGACTCTGTAGTCCGCTTCTAGGGTCGGGCGCCGCCGCCGCCGCGCGCCGCATCAGCTCGGACGCGAGCCGCAGCCGCGCCACCTGCGCGAGGGTCAGGAGGAGAGTCTGGCCCGGCGGCTGCCGCGCGCGCCCCCAGGACACACACTGCAGGCATGGGCAGCAGGGGCAGAGTGCTGGGTGGGCTGCCACGCCAAGAATGGACGGAGCATGGGGCACGGCGCAGACTCACACTCCCACCCTCGCGCCCTCACAAGCGGTGCGGCAGGTGTGGCGAGGGCCAGACTCAGGGGAAGGGGGTGCGGCGCCGAGAGGAGAAGGGAGGGAGAGCGAGCCGCGAGGTGGCGTCACTGTGGGCGTGGGAGTGTGGGAGAGCGGTGTGTGGGTGAGAGTGTGGGAGAGCGGTGTGTGGGTGAGAGTGTGGGAGAGCGGTGTGTGGGTGAGTGTGGGAGAGCGGTGTGTGGGTGAGTGTGGGAGAGCGGTGTGTGGGTGCAGATCGAGCGATGCTGCTCCACCTGTGCGCCGTAGCTCGAGTCAGCGGCGGCGGCGGCGGCGGCCTCCTCCTGCGCGATGGCGCGCGCCCTCGCCTCCGCCGCCCGCAGCCTGCGGAGCCAGCTGTCGTCTGCGGGCTTGAAGAGGGAGCCCTCCTAGGGTCAGGGTCAGGGTTAGGGTTAGGGTTAGGGTCAGGGTTAGGGTTAGGGTTAGGGTTAGGGTGAGGGTGAGGGTGAGGGTGAGGGTGAGGGTGAGGGTTAGGGCTAGCTTGAAGAGGGAGCCCTCCTCGGTGACGTAGTCGCGCAGCTCCTGCGAGTCGAGGGTGCGCAGGGCGGCGCCGAACAGGAGCGCCGCCTGCTCGGCCAGCTTTGCGCGCACCGAGGGCGAGGTCCCCTCGTCAACCGCCTGATCACAGCTGCACCCGTGAAGAGGCGCTGTTCACAGGTGGTGGCGGTTGAGGAGGCGCGCCGACCTGCTCACAGCTGCACCTGTGAAGAGGCGCTGTTCCGAGCACCGCCACGGCGCGCGGATGCCCTCGTCGAGCGCCTTCTGGTGGAAGGCGTGCTGCGCCTGCGCGAGCATGAGGTCGCGGAGGGCGGAGAGCATCTCGAGGCCCAGGTCGGGTGACAGGCTCGCCGGCTCCCACCGCGGGTCCAGACCCCAGATCGCCGGACGCACCATGTCGTGCGCCGCAGCAAAGCAGCCGGCGGCGCGCTGCAGCTGCTTGAAGGCATCGGCCTGAGCGCCGCGGCGGAAGGCGCGGCTG